TTGCAGAGCGAGTGCCAGGACAGGCTCAAAAGCTACACAGAGAAACCCTGTCCCGGAAAAAAACAAACAAACAAACAAACAAAACAAAAACTCCAGCTGGGCATGGTGGCCCATGTCTTTACTCCCAGCGTTAGGGAGACAGAGGCAAGTGGATTTCTGTGAATTTGGGGCCAGCCTGGTCTACATGGTGAGTTTCTGGTCAGAAAAGGTTATACATTGAGACCCTGTATCAAAAGCACAAAAGGCAGCCCCATGTTCCAGGTCAGTGCCTGGGAGTCAGGGCCACTGGAGTCCAAGCTTCCGCTCCAGAACAAGCAAAGTGACCTAACCTCCGGGGCATGTCACTGGAATGGACCATTCCAACACCAGCGAACAGGGCATTTGACAAAACAAAGGGCTGTGGCAGCTTGGCATGCTTTACTTTCCCCTGCTTGACAACACCCTTCGACTATTAGCGTCTCTACTACGGAGCCAACGCAGGCACGAGTGACTGTGATTAGACTTCTAGAGCCGAATGCAGAAGACAACTAAAACACAGGTTGCACGTCAGGCATCACCCAATGATTGACACCTGGAGCCCTCACCGATTCCTTTTCGAGACAAACAGTTCCTTTTAGGGTCTGCTGCCTGCAAATATCGTCCCGTGTCCCCAGGCAGATCCCTACTTTAACCACTCTTTGCATATCCCTATATTGCCCGGAATAAGACCAAAGCCTCCAAAACTGTGGGAGAGGACACCTACTAACCAACAGCATCTAAGTCACCGTGGGTTCTCCAGGGGAAAGCACTGATGGGGAGGGCAGCCCTGCTCCCCGTCTCACATACTCAGGAAGAGAAATCTCAGCAGAGGTCCTACCATCTCATCCTGGGTGGGGTCGTTGTCAAAGATCTTCATAGGCGGAGGAAGGGGTGTGTGTGACTCTTCATCTGGCTCATCTTCGCCCCAACCCTTCTTGCTCTTCTAGAACAAAAGAACGCCATTAGGTACTGCTACATCAATAAAAGATGCCAATAGTTCAGGACTTGACATTAAACCATTTTTTTTTCTTAAGAAGAAATTGAAAGGGAGAAAGTTGGAAGACTAACTTTTAAAATTAATTTCCCCCCTCCCCCTACTTTTTTCCCCCAAGGGGTCCAGGCTGGTCTTGAACTCATGATTCTTGTGTCAGCCTCCTGGGTACTGAGATTACAGGAATGTTATGTCTCACCATACCAGGACTAACTTCAAATTTTTCCAAAAAGCTATTAAGCTACCATCCAAATCTCACCAGGGTTTTGTGCCATTTCCAACTTGAAAAATGGCAGGTGGAACAAAGTTATGAGAGGAAGTCTGGTTCTGCATCGGGAAGACTTTCTTAGCTTCACTAGTAACTGGAATAGGTTAATTATGCAGATAAAACAGGCATTGTATTCCCCAAGCCAAAATACATCCCCTGTATTTTTATTGCAGAATCTCAGTTCTACAAGAACTCAAGAGATTATCCAGCCTAACTTCTTGGCTGAAACCCAGTTCTCTGTGATTAATGTGGTCAGAAGATCTCATGATGGCCCATTTCATCATCACCAGCTGTCTCTATCAACCTTCCTCACTGAGCTGAAACCTTGTCCACTGTGACCTTCATGTATTCTTCATAGCTCTCCCTCTGTGACACCTGTATTTATTTGTTTGTTTGTTTGAGATAAGGTCCCACTGTGTAGCCCCAGCTTGCCTAAAACTCAACACGTAGAAGAAGCTGGCCTTGAATTCAGAGATAGCTGCCTCTGCCTCCCAAGTGCTGGAACTAAAGGAGAGCATCACCGTGCTTGCCATCTGCAGCACCCTTTACAGGTGGCATTGCTCAAAACCCTCGGCTGCAGCTCAGCCTCTGGCTTTCTGAGTGACGTAATCTCAAGCCTTGCATTCTGACTCTGTATCTGGCCAGCTTTCATGCCATCCTCAGTAGAGGCAGGGGATCTCTTCTCTGGCCAGGACACTCATTCTGAATCTGGCAAACCTTTCTTTCTGTCTACTTGATAGTCTCAGTGCTTATATGTCTCTGGATGGGGCACAAATCAAAGAAGTCAAGTCTCAAGAATAGAAAGTTCGAGATGACACACTACGAGAGATGGTAGGCCTGTTGGATTACATGACTGTGAGGGAAGCATGTCAGAAGTCTCTTGTGGCAGAAGAGAGCTGGCCCTGGTAGGTACCTCGTCAGCGCTGTCTCCCTGAGGGGTTGTCTCATCCCCAGGCTTGGGTGATCCCAGGTCGAAGCTCTTCCGCCCATCACACACTTTTTTCTGCTTTTTGATGTTTCCATCAGCTTTTCCACTGTTGAGCCGCCTCACGGGGCTGGTTAGCCACTTTTTAAGGGTGTTGGTGGACCGCTTGGGACCAGGGAAACTGTGGATGGAGTTCAGGGAGTGCTGAGACTGAAGGTTGGCCACAGACTCGGACTTGCCTCCATTTTCACTGGAAGAGTGAGAGTATGAATCTGAAGAGAAAGCACAGATGGAAACATCATGTCAGAAGCAGCTAAAACAGGCATTTGTACTGCTGGCTAAGGTAGCTTCATCCTCAAGAAGGTAGGTCATAGGTTAAGGCCAGCTGTGGACCAGGCAAGAGACAGCAGCAACATTAGACACCGACTCAAATATTTATATGTGAGATGCCATTCCGTTTTTTTTTTTTTAGGTTTATTTATTTATTATGTCTATAGTGTTCTGTCTGCATGTACCTCTACAGGCTAGAAGAGGGCACCAGATCTCATTACAGATGGTTGTGAGCCATCATGTGGTTGCTGGGAATTGAACTTAGGACCTCTGGAAGACCAGCTAATGTTTTGAACCACTGAGCCATCTCTCCAGCCACCACCACCCTTTTTTTATTTTTTATTTTATTCTTTTATTAGTTCAAATTAGGAACAAGCTTGCTTCACATGCCAATCCCTTCTCCCTCTCTCTCCCTTCCTCCCTAGCCATCCCCCCTCCACTCCCCAGGCAGGGTAAGGCCCTCAAAAGGGGCTCCCCAAAGTCTACCACATCATCCTGGGCCAGGCCTAGGCCCTTCCCCATGTGTCCAGGCCAAGAGAACATCCCTTCATATGGGATGGGCTCTCAAAATCCCTTCTTTTTTTTTTTTTAAGACCTTACATATTTAATACAGTGCATTACCCCTGTACAAATGGAAAAAAATTAAGTTCAACATTTCTGGACCAATATGGCTGTTAATTTTTGTACAGTGCCAACTCAACATGGTAAACTGGGATACTTTTTTCCAAAGTTGATAGCACAGCTAAAGTTTCCAAAAATTCAAATTATATATGTATATATATTTATATTTATATAAAAAGACCAATAATGGCATCAATAGCAGCAACAGCTTTTCCAGGTTATGCAGTCATTTGAACAAAATTGTAAATACATCTAGCACTGTCCATTAAAAAAAAAAGTAAAAAACAAAATCCCAGAAAACAGCACAGTTCTGTTACTCTTCCACCACCCCTTTTTTAAAAGTATTTATTTAGTACACAGTGTTCTGCCTGCATGTATTCCTGCAGGCCGGAAGAGGGTACCAGATTTCATTACAGATGGTCGTGAGCCACCAAGTGGTTGCTGAGAATGGAACTCAGAACCTCTGGAAGAGCAACAAGTGCTCTTAACCTCTAAGCCTATCTCTCCAGCCCACCATTCCAGGTTTTATGGAAACAGGACACACAAGAGACAAAGGCTCCTGTTTCCGTGGAGGCTATGTTCTGGTAGGAAATCCAATAGACCATGACAACAAAATAAGTAAAATGTAAAGTATCATAGATAATGGGAACAGCTATACTAAAAAAAATTATAATAAGGTTGGGAAATGCAGTGAGGAATAGAGAGTGCAAATTAACAGTAGCTCAGGGGAGGTCTCATGACTTGGCACCTGAACATAGTCCTAATGGCAGGGAGAGACAAGCCATGTGGTCTTTTGACAAAGGGCAATCCAAGCAAGCAGGAGATGAGCAAATTCAGATGTTCCAAGGTAGGATGTGGAGTATGCAAGGGGTGGCATCTGTGCAAATGGGGTGGGCCACCAGGACTAGGTGTCTTATTTTATTATTAATATTATAATTATTATTAGTAACATTATTATTATGCCTTTGGTTTTTACCTACAGGGGAATTCTTGGAAGATGGATACCATTTGCCATACATACTAAAATGTTTTGATTTCTAATTGAGGACAGTGGAAATAGATTGTCTAGGAGGCCACCATATTCCTTTCAGCTGGGGGTCTTTAGTCACTTGGAGGATGGTACCAGTGGCCATCAGTAGGGATTAGATTCTGTATATGTTTTGACAGTAGAACAGGCAGAGCTTCCTGACAGACTGTGTATACAAGAAGAGTCAGGATAACTTGGTTTTTCCCAGAACAACTGTTAGGATAAAGTTTCTGAGGTGGAGCAGAGTGTGGGAAGAGTGGCTTTGAGGATAGATGGAAAGGAAGTCAGTTGCGGCCATCTTTGAAACGCATTTAGACAGATACCAGCAGACAAGATGACTAGCTGCTGGACTTCAAGTCTGGAGCTCGGGGTAGAAAGTGCTGGTAGATGACTGAGGGTTGTCAGTGAAGAGACAGTGCTGAAAGCCATGAGTAAAAACACCAAGGGGCATGAGCATGAGGAAGGGAGAAGCCTAGAGACTAAGTAAGAGGCAGGAGGATGAGAAGACAAGGGAAATGTCAGAGAGGCTGGGGGAATCTGGCCTGGTGGCTACATATGGAAAGCACTTGTATGGAGGAAAGGAGATGCCAGCTGTGCCACACACTCCTTGATAGGTCAAGGGTACTGACCAATGAATTAAGCTTTAAACTTAGTTACACAGACGTCATTGGTGACTTTGCAAAAAAGCAGCTGTAGTGTGATGGAGGGGGCAAGCCTGATTACACAGAGTGGCAGAGAATGAGAGAGAGGAAGGCAACAGAGTGCGCAGAGAATTTTTGTTTTGTTTTAAAGGGACAATGATTGGAGATCAAGAGACTTTGTTTTGTTTTGTTTTTAAATAGGAGAAATCAGCAAATTGTCTTTAAGTTGCTATGCCATTTGTTGACTATCTCAGTGTTTTAATGAACTTGCAATAGCCTAAGCATTTTACATGAACCATCTTATTTCATTCTTTGACAACATCATGGGCTCATGGGGATGTGGGGGAGTAGTCTTATTATCTTCGTTTTAGGAAAGAGGAAACTGCCTACTTAGAGACATCAATCAATTTTCCCAAGGACATACAGCTCCTAGGGACAGGGTATGCCATTTAGCCAGATTGAGCAATAAATTATGCTACTGGTCCTTCACGCCTTTCCATGCCCAGCACAGCAGCTTCCACTGTCTACAGGCAAAGCAAAACCAGGGCAGCCACACTACTGGAGTGGGGCAGCTAGAAAAAGCACAGCACAGCAGAAGCTGTAAGACAATCCCTATACAGTCCCTCCTGTTCCTGATGTCTGAATACCTGCTAATCTTTGAGGAGACCAGCATTAGATGTACAGATGTTAGCCTATAAAATATCTTGAACCAATCCAAAGACAAGATTTTAAAGTCTGCTTCTACTGTTCAGTGGTGCTGCTTTTTTGTTGGTTTGTTTGTTTGCTTGGTTTTTTTCAGGTCAGGGTTTTCTCTCTGTAACAGTCCTGGCTGTCCTGGAATGCATTCTGTAAACCAGGATGGCCTCAAATTCACAGAGATCCACCTGTCTCTGCCTCCTGGTACTGGGATTAAAGGAGTGCACCACCACCACCGGTGAAGCTGTTTTTTTTTTTTGTTGTTGTTCTATTGGTGTTGAGAAAACTAGAGTCCTTAGACTTTTATATGTTGCACAGCAACACTGGCAAATTGGCCCTCAAGTCAAGTGCCAAGCAAGAATTACTAACCAGTAACAATGTCACAGCGAATGTAGTAGACAGTGAGTTCTAAAAATATAAGACACAGGCTGCATTTTCATTGACCTCTTGTCTAGCCACACACACACACTCACATGCACAAGAGCAGAGAGAAGTGGGGAGAAAAAAAGAGAACACAACAGCAAGGCAGAGCAAGGAAGATAAAGATACTTTCACAAAGCAGTATGTGATTAATCGCCAGCAGGCTGGTATGGCCAGACTTGCCTGATAAGTGAGCACAGTTCAGACGAGGGTCACAGCTGTGTAGGAGGGACTGGCCTGGAAAGGTTTGAGGGGAGAGATGTTTGGGAGGGGGTGTTCCCAGAAGGCAGGATAACAAGAACAAATACACAGTCAGGAAAATGGTAAATACGTTAGCCAGTCCAAAGCAGGTCCTTGGTAGGGAATAAGATCAGTGGGGGAGAAACTGGGTAGGTGGAAACATTTGTGAGGACATTAGATAATAAATTCAAATATGAACTTTATTATGAGATTCTGCTGGGAAATGACATGACAGGAAAAAGGTAGTTTTGTTTTTCAAATTCATCTGGCAAGTCTATACAACTCTCTTAGGAAGAAGGGATTGGAATCCAGATTGTTCCATGAGGACCATGTGCCCAGGCTAAGGAATATGATACTGTCAGTGTTTGGGAGACAAATTAAAGGTGAGTGTGTCATGAATGCTCATCTCTACCATGGTCCTGAGACAGCTGATCTCTACCCCTGCCCCATGGCTGCCAGTTTGCATACTGATACTTAAACCAAGAAAATGGTTGCCTATTTAAAAAGTGTTCTTGTGGCTTTTCACACCTACTCGGAAACTGAATCACATTTTCCTGTGTGACTCTGCCCCAGACTTGGACAAGAGATCTCATCCAGCCTTGGAAACCTTCAAGCTTACATGAAGCCAATAGAGCAGAAAAGAAAATTCTGAAATGAAGTTAGCAAATGCCAATAGAGAGCTGCTCCTGGCTTCCCAGCATCTCCTAGGGTCTGAGACCCTGAGCTCCATGCTGGGGCTCGCTGAGCTTTGGCCTTGCTGGGGCCTTTCTCAGGGACTATTAGGGATTTGTGCATATTTTGGAAAGCAACAGCAGAATATGTGTGTTTAGAAGCACAAACACGGGACTCCTAAAATTGCCTGGTACAAAGGGGAAACTACAGGCAGCTCTACTCTGGGAACATCTGGGGATTCACTGGTACCTCTTTAAGGACAAAGGTGTAATCTTATCTCAGAAAATTCCTCACTGGCCATGGTCTGGCGTGTGTTGACATTATTTCTCAAGTGTTTGGTATGGGTGATAAGCATCTGCAGTAGCATTGATAGAAACAGGGCCTCTCTACAGATAAGTGAGAGACTCTCCTCATTCACTAGGCCCCAGGGATGCAACTGAACTCCCTGTTTTAGAACATAGATTTATAGCGTATGCTGTGTCAGCAAAGCAAAAGGCTTAACCACATTAACTTCTTTCTCTTTAGTTACCAAGCCAAGCAGACCACGTTCCAGGGCAAATCATGGCTGGCTTTGACATTTGCAAATGTGTATTAGGAATGGCCATTCCTCTTCCCCCACTGCTAT